TAAACATTAATTACACATCCTGTTTAACAAGACAGTTAGTTGTGAGTTTCTCAGGTATTTTTTTAATGTTTATTTATTTTTGAGAGACAGAGAGACAGACAGAGAGAGAGAGAGAGAGAGAGAGAGAGAGAACAAGTGGGGGAGGGGCAGAGAGAGAGAGGGGCGGGGGACAGAGAATCCAAAGCAGGCTCCAGGCTCTGAGCTGTCAGCACAGAGCCTGACATGGGGCTCAAACCCACAAACTGTGACATCATGACCTGAGCCAAAGTTGGATGCTTAACTGACTGAGCCACCTAGGCACCCCCTTAGGTACTTCTTAGTTGAAAACAGATTGCATTAGACTTGTTAAGAAATCAGTTTTGTTATTTATCCCCAAATTAATCTTATTTCCTTTGCCAAATAAATGCCATATTGTGATTGAATAAACAGAGTTATTTTTTTAAGAATGAGAACTTTTGAATTGTTTTCAAGTTGATTCATTTTGGGATATTTATAACTTTTACTGTGGCATTAGAAACAGATAGACCATAACAAGAAGACAGTTAAGCTGTGTCTTTAAACAACTATTGCACAATACTACAAGCTTGTTTTACATATGTCCACTTAATAAATCAAGCCAATTTTGTATAGAAGGATTTGTCTAACTGCCATAATAATTTTCACCCATTTATTCTACCTGTTAGATAATACTTGTTCTAGATCCTCTTCTGTTCATTTTAACACTTTAAATGTTAAATTTAAAGCCATTTTCAAATAGGCTTTTTATTTGGAAGTAATTCCATGCTTCCAAAAGGTGGAAAAAATAATGGGGCATTTGGGTGGCTCAGTTGGTTAAGCGTCCAACTTCGGCTCAGGTCATAATCTCGCTGTTTGTGGGTTCGAGCCCCATGTCGGGCTCTGTGCTGACAGCTCAGAGCCTGGACCCTGCTTCAGATTCTGTGTTTCCCTCTCTCTCTCTGCCCCTCCCCTACTCATGCTCTGTCCCTCTCTATCTCTCAATAATAAATAAATAAATGTTTAAAAAAATTTTTTTAAGTTGCAAAAATAAAAATAGTACAAATGAATACCCATGCACTCATTATAGAGATCTGCCCATTGCTAACATTTTACCGTTATATATGGTTGTAGTTCGTGACTCTTTACCCCTAAATAATTCAAAGTGTATTTCCCAAGAATAGGGATAGCCTATCAAATAATCAATTATATTGTCAATCAATTATACTGTCCAATTCCAATATTATTAGTTAATCTACTAATGTCTTTTATACCATTTCTCCAATAGAGGACCCAGTCTAGGGTCAGGTACTGTTTTTAGTTGTAATGTTGCCTCAGTCTCCCTTGGTCTAGAATAGTTCCACAGTCTTTGCTTTTCATGAACTTAACATTACTGAAGAATATAGTCCCATCTCCCTTTTTTCTCTCATTTTATGATTGTCTAATGTGTCCATGTGATTAAATATATTCTCAGCCAGAGCATGCATAGGCTATGTCATGTCCTTCTGAGGGTATCACAATTGGAGCCCAATCACTTCCGTCTGTCCCTCACTGGAAATAATTTTGATCATCTGGTCAAGGTGTTATCTCACTTCTCTGCTATGTACTTACTGCTATTTAAATTCCTCCTTATAATAAGCAATATGCGAGAAGACACTAAAAATCCATACAAATATCCTACTGCTAAGCAAAATTTCCTTCTGAATTTAGCATCTGTTGATGATGCTTGCCTCATCCAATCTTGACTATGATGGTTATAAAATTTACGATTTACTACAGAATAGTCAGTCCTTGGCATTCTACTATAAGCAAGAATCCTTCTTTCTCCTCCATATATCTTCCATCAGTATGGACTCATGAATTTCTATGCTTTTCAATAGTTTAGAATTCATTAATGTACTTAATTATTTTATTGTTTAAATTATCCCAGATTTGGCCAGCAGGAGCCCTTCAAAGCTAGCTCCTGCATCCTTATGATTCTTTTTTTGGTAGCATTTCCTTACTACCTGGTATAATAAGATATTCCAGAACCATCTTGATCCTAACTTGCTCCAATTCTGCAATCAGCCATTTTTCTAAGGAGCCCTACTTCCTTTTGGTGGGGAATCATATTAGAAATCAAGATTTGGGTGATATGTGTGCTCACTCCTACCATTGGGGGAGAGAGGGTCTTTACTTCCTGGCTTTTTCAACCAGAGCCAAGAAACCTATGCATACCCAGGCATACAAATATGCATATGTACATAAATATATTAAAATACATGGACATATAAAGATATGCATACATCCATTTTTTTTAAGAACTCAAGGGTCCACACTGAAATTTCCAGTAACTCATGCCTACAGTGTTTTTTCTTGCTTTTCTATATTCCACAGTTGTATGTCCCTTCTTCCACAAAGAGAATCCTGATTTCCAACATCATATTTATTCAATTGTTGAGTCCAATAGTACATCCTCAATAGTTTCAGCATTTCTTCTCCAATAGTACTATAATAAACAAAACTACTAAGAAGAGTTCAGAATTTATTTCCAATCCTAACCCCCGAAAAGATTGAGAACCATTATTCTATGCCCTGCCCCTAAGTGTCTTCTTCAATAACTCCCAAATCTACCCTTCGCTCCATACCTTCCAAACCCCATTTTCACATTAATAACTATGTGCTTGATACCCCATCTAGGCAGGAGATCAATATATCCCAAACTTAATTTTTCTTCAACAAGCCTGTCCATCCTTCTGCCTTATTCCTAATCTTTTAGCCTTATTCAATTTCAAAACTTTGGATTTAATCTTCATCTCCTTTTTTCCCCCACTTCCTAGCACCCCATCTCTCAAGCAAAGTAGAAAGGACACAAGATTTGGAGCTCCACAGACTTGAAATCAATCTCAGCTCTTCTATGTAGTTGTGATATCAGGAAAATCACCTCACCTCTTGGAGTACTAGTTTCCTCATCTTTAAACAGGAGAATAACAATACATACTCTGCAAGGCTTTTATGAAGATTACAAGAAGGAGATTTTGCAAAGTGCCCAGCTTTGGCACACAGAACTTTATGTATATAGATCCCCACGTCACCCCCAGATACTTTCCAAGACCTGTATGGTCAATATATTTTGACCATAAATTGGTGTCTCTAGAAGACTCCAGAATCTCTTTTCACCCTCCTTTAACCCCAAACCTCAAGGAACAGAGTTGGTCAAATCCCAGGAAACTATACTGCATCACAGTTCTAAAGAGAGAAGATGGTAAGTGGTTAAAGACTGACCTCACTTGTAGGTAATCAATTACAGTCACTAAGCAGTGCTAAAAGGTAGCTTGGGGTGGGGGCCCCTAACTTTCCCCCAAATCCCCATCAGCACACCCACCACACCTAAATTTTTGAAAATGATAATTTTATATGGACAGTTGATATTTTGGTCAATTTTATATATACTTCCAATAAGGCATATTTTTAAAACCTTTGCTATTTTTATTATTCTGTAACAAACAGGATAGCCACGTCCTGGCCCTCTCTCTCCCCAGATACCTATCAGCACCCTTCTTGATAGAACATATTACCTCCTTTCCTATTGCTTCTCCTTTAGGGTTGTGCCACTGTATAAACTGTCCCATATACAGCTCTCCAAAAAAATCTTCCTAAAGTGTAACTTCACACATGCCATGCTCCTATCCATCAAAACTTTCCTTCACTTCCAACTGTTCAAAGAAAATAAACAAATTCCTCTTCCAAGCCCTTTGCACTCAGGTCCCAAACTAGCTCCTATGTCTCATGGTTCCCCAAATTACAGCCTATACCTTAATTCTAGCCAAAATGGATTATCTGCTATTTCCCAAATTGTTCTCATACTTTTTCTTTCATGCGGTTCACTCTTCCTGGATGTCTTTTATTATCAGATCACTTGCCTTTTGAAAGTCTATCGGTACTTCAAGATCCATCCTCAGTACTACTTTCTCCATGATGGCTTTTTTTTTTTTTTTTAACTTACACTGGTTTTAGTTAGGGAAAAGAAATAGTTGGTTTTTTCTGTATGTATTTATCAAAAAAACAAACAAACAAACAACACTTACTTATCTAGAATTTGGAAGAAACTGGGACCGGGAGTAAAATAATTGGCACCTGATAATATACTGTGAGGGCTTGATACTTTAGCCTCAACAGACCCCAGTCATTCTTGGTGGACCCTAATTTCGCTATCAAATAGCCTTGAACAAGTAATCTCTTTGGCCTATGCTTATCATCAATAAAAGAGACATAAAAAAATATCTTCTTTGGAGAATTGTTGTGGAAAATAGAAATAATCTTACACATGGTAGCCTGTTTGTCACTGTTGCTGAACATGCTTAATAAATGTCTCAGATGAGTTGGGATCCAAGAGAGACCAGATTCTAATCCCAACACCATCAACACCTTGAACAATTCACTTCTTCTCTCTAGGCATCCTTCCCTCCCATCATGTGTAAATCAAGGTGATAAAACCTGTGTCCTCTGACTCTGAGTCAACCTGGTAGTTCATCCCAAGCTGCAGGGTCCTTAGTTTAGGCCCATACTTTGTGTCGCCACTAGCCGGCAGGATTGCCACATGGTTGCTTGGCCACTCCCTATTTCCATCCCCATCTCCAGGAAGAACTTGCCTTCAGAATTCGGGACCAAAACAAACAGAATATTCCAGCCCAGCAGTAGCCAAGACTTTGAAATGGAGTCTTATCAGGCTATAAAAGGAGATGGGAAAGCAAAGTCTCTAGCGTCTTTCTGCAAAGAAGACACTGATTTGTCTCAAGCCCAGAGGAGCAACTAGGACTCCAAGAGTCAAATGACATCTCTCCAGCCCATCTACTACATGACAGATGCCCTTGTAGAGACCTACAGGTGACCCAGGCCAACACCAGGGCACCCTTGGAAGAATTTGACGCTGAGTCCCTCAGAAACCACTTCGCATGCCTTATAAGATACTTATGAAAAGGTGAGATTTGGACTTATAATGTCCAAATGTGTAGGTAACTCACTTTAATTTCTCCAATCCTGTTTTCTCCTTTGTAAAACTAGCATAAACCAGGTTTCTGAACTTGCTCTGTCTCCCAGGGCTGCAGGCATGCAGAACCCTAGAAAGAATATGGGCTTTATGAATACACAGACTTGCTTCAAATCCTGTTCTTGTCATTTATATGAACCCAAAAAAGTCTTCTAAGTTCCCTCATCTACAAAATGGAGATAGAAAACCTTTTATTTCACAGTGCTTTCTGAGAATGAAATCAAATAGAGTCAGGACAATGGCACATATAGAGGCTCAATAATGTTACATCTCATCCCTGTTTATAAAAATACAAAACAGCATGGTTCCATAATCATTAAAAATTTATACACATGCATAGAAAGGATAAAATCAAAACACATATATCAAACAGTTAGTATTGACTTCCAGTGTGTACCCTCTGTCATTTCTCAGTTTTCTAAAATGAACCATTATTACTGCTGTCACTTGTTTTTTTTTTTTTTATTGTGGTAAAATACATGTAACATAAAATCAACCATTTTAACCATTTTTAAGTATACAGTTCTATAGGATGATGTAATTCCCACTGTTGTGCAACCACCTGCCATGCCACCATCCATCTCTAGACCCCTCTTATCATTCCACACTCAAAATCCGTACCCATTAAATTACAACCCCCACGATCCCTTTACCCTGTCCCTAGAAACTACCATTCTGCTTTGTCTCTACGAATTTGACTATTCTAGCTAGACACTTCATATAAGTGGAATCATACAATATTTGTCCTTTTTTGTCTGGCTTACTTCTTATTTCACTTAGCATGATGCTGTCAATGTTCATCCACGTTGTAGCATGTATCAGAATATCTCTCTTTTTTAAGGCTGAGTAGTGTTCCATTCTAGAGATATATCACATTTTGTTTATCCATTTATTCATCAATAGATATTTGGATTACTTCCACTTTCTGGCTATTGCGAATAAGGTGAACACTGGTATGCAAATATTGGTTCAAGTCCCTGCTTTCAGTCTTTTCGTTTCATACCCAGAAGCAGAATTGCTAGGTCATATGGTAATTCTACATTGAATTTTTTGAGGAATGGCCATACTGTTTTCCACAGTGGCTTCATAATTTTACGTTCCTTTTTTTTTTTTTTTAATAATAGCCACCCTAATGGTGGGTAGTGGTATCTCATTATGGCTGTTGCATTTACCTAATGTGCTGATTTGCATTTCCCTAAAGATTCGTGAAACGGAGCATCCTTTCATGTTGTTAAGAAACTTAAAAAAAATATTTTTCTACTAAACAAATGGATATATTATGGACTAGAATATAACATTCATATAAATTTTCAAGTTAAACCATGAGACCTCAAAGAAATTTCCCATATTGGGTGGGCATCTTTGATCTACGCCCCTGGATTTCCCAGGAGATGCCATTTGTTCTCCTTCCTTCAATTTTCCTCTACCATGGGGATGGGTCTGGGGACAGTTTGAAAAAAGCCTTCTTGTCCCTGAGTTCAATCAGGAGAAGAGAAGGTGTAATAAATCAGAAAGACCACAGCTACCTGACAAGATAGCATTTAATAAGAGAAAGTTTCCAGAGGCATCTGGGTGGCTCAGTCAGTTAAGCATCCAAGTATTGGTTCTAGCTCCAATCATAATCTCATGGTTTGTGGGATCGAGCCCCACATGGGGCTCTGGGCCAACAGTGTGGAGCCTGCTTGGAATTCCCTGTCTCTGCTTCCTTCTCTCTCTGCCCCTCCCCTGCTCACTCTCTCTCACAATAAATAATTTTTTTTTTTTTAAGAGAGACATTTTCCAAAGGAAAGTCAGCCCAAAATTAAAATGAAATCAATTCAATAAATATGTAAGGCATGTGGAAGGAAGCCGTTCTGCATGCGTGTGATCAAGTTACTCTTCATGAAGAAGTGAGTAAAACAGACACAGCCTAACGAGTATCACTGATGGAACAGAGGACCACAGGAAGTGTCATAGAAGGATCTAAAACTAAGGAGTGCAGTAAGCACAGAGCCAGATGCTGAACTGATATGTCAGGAACTACAGAGGGAGACAGACCAGGGGCTAAAAGGAACACATAGAGCAGGTTGTCCTAAACATCTGTCTGTGAGCAAATGATAGCTAATCAGCAGTGAAAAGAGAAAAATAAGAACGTTCTCCTGAGTTTTTTATAAAGCCAAATTTACTCCACATGGGAACTACCATAAGGGATTAAATGTCCTTTCTTTTATAGAATAAAAAATAGTTTTAATGAACCAAAATAAAAGGTGCAAGCCCACATCATTTCTCAAATTTTATTGTGACCTTTTTTTTTTTTTTTTTGTCTGTGACATTTCAGTTCTCCTAGCACTTAGAAATTGCCAGCAAGGAGCAAGAAGTAGGGATAAGCCATGGAGAAGGGCCAGGTGGTCAAGATGAGTTACGGCCCACAGAAGGCTTGGTTTAGGAACTCCCACCTCTTCCAGACAGGGCCCTTGTATGACCTGATATATGCAGCCTCTTTCCTCACTCCCATCCTTCCAAGCCAGAGGCATGCATTTAAGGAGGCAGGAATCTGCTAACACCGTTCAGATTTTTCTGACCCAACCTCTAGAGAAGGGTTGGCAAACTTTTTCTGTAAGGGGCCAGATAACAAACTTTTTAGGCTTTGTGGGCCACATGATCTCTGTCACGACTACTCAATGCTGGCATTGTAGCGCAAAAGCAGCCACAGAGAATACATAAGCAAATGGATGCAGCTGTGTTCCCCTGAAACTTCATTTACAAAAATAGGCAGAAGCCTAGATTTGGTTCACAAGACACAGTTTGCCAAGGGGTACTCTAAAGAGCAGAGAGGAGAACTTATAAAACCCAGATCGGACTCGGCAATAAAAATAGATTGTGGTCATTTTATACACGTGAAATTTGTGGCATATGGAAACGTGTGGTTTTGAGTCCAGCTTAAACAGATGTTTTCTGAGCATCATTATCATCATCATTGCTAGAACTTTATGATGATAGTTGACCCTTGAACAACGTAGGAGTTAGGGATGCCAACCCTCTGTGGGTTTGAAAATCCACATATAACTTTTAACTCCCCTAAAACTTAACTGGTAATAGCCTAGTGTTGACTGGAAGCTTTACCTACAACATTAATGGTCAATTAACACATATTTTGTATGTTCCATAGATTAATACTGTATCCTTTTCAGTAAAGTAAGCTAGAGTAAAGAAAATGTCATTAGGAAAATTATAAGGAAGAGAAAATACATTTATAGTACTATATGTATATTTATTAAAAAGAAATCCACTTTTAAGTGGACCTGCGCAGTTCAAACCCATTTTGTTCAAGCATCAACTATAATTGCTATACATCAAGCAATATACTAAAAATACCACATGAATTAGTTTACTTAACTCTCACAAGCACACTATATGCTGATATCACCAGAATTTTCACTTTAGATCTAAGGGAATTGATGAATTGGGAGGTTCAGTAACTTGCTTAGGCCCACTCAGTTGGTGAGCAGTGGGGCTGTGGTTCATAAAGCAGAATGTGGACTTCTGCTTCCAGCCATGGTGAGATGAGATTTACCTTCCCACCTTAAACAACTAAAACACTGAACACAATCCATGAAATAATGGTTTTCAGACATTCAGTAACTGGCAGAGCAGGACAATGACCCCAAAGAGAAGGGAAATCAAGAGGTAAGCCCAAGGATGCCCCTGCTTACTGTCTGCAGAATTTCCAGGCTATACCAAAGGAAAGAGGTTTGAGGACACAGAGCATGAATGGAGTTCCTGGAGGCCAAAGCAGCTAAAGTTTCTGAGGCAAGGAACTGAAGAAGAGAGAGCTGCACAGAAAGAAACTCCAGAGAGATACAGAGGATTCCCCTTGCATCTTTAGCTGAGTACTAATCAGCACATGTGTGTAAGGAAACTGCTGACCCAGAGACAGAATGATCAAAGAGGAGCACTTCCCAGGCTCACCCAGGGTTGGGAATATTTTATGTTCCTTCCAGCCAGAGTAAAAAGATCTCCTAATATTTGCCTCCTCAAAAAAATATCACCTTAGTAGTAGGGTTGTATCAGCCCTACACTAAAGGCTGTTCTGGACCCACCTAAGAAAAATTAAAAGTAAGTCAAAAGGATCAATTTGTTTCCAAGTAACTTGGAATTTTGCACTCCCACAAAAAAAAAAAGAAAAGAAAAAAAAGCCTAAAAAATATCTAAAGGATTGAAAAACAAATCTGCAACCAGCAACATACAATTCACAATGTCTTCCACCCAACAAAAAATTAACACGCATTCAAAGAAGCAGGAAAATATGACCCAAAACCTGAGGGGAAAAAAATCAGTCAATAAAAACAGATATAGAAATACCACAGATGATGTAAATAATAAACAAGGAGGTTAAGACAGCTTCTATAAATATACTCCATATGTTCAAAATGGTGGAGCAAAGCATAAGCATGATAAGAAATTAAGGATATGAAAAAGACCTCAACGATAGAAAACAAGCAATGGCAATCTCTGAGATGAAAGGTCACTCAACCAGTAAGTGGCCAACCTGAGATTACACCCCTGGATGGACTCCAAGTTGTGGTGCTCATTACATTACTGGAACAGTTTTATAGCAAAGAAGACTGATCACAGAAGGCAAATCAAGCACCATTTTCTTAATTAAACCAATTGGTTCACACATGCAAGTAGCATTTTAAAAATTTCCCTGAATATATCAGAACTATCTTCTGCTTACACTGCACTGTGGGGATCAAGGCTTAGTTGCCACTGACGTGCATAATCTCTGACAATCAAAGTAGAGGGTACTAGGAAAAGAAACAGAGTAACAACCACTGCTACACAAGTGTAAATGTAACCACACCCAGGTGAATTTGTTTAGTTTCTTTCTTGTTGAGAATATTCACCCTTTGGTTTGTTTGTTTTTCAGACAAACGTATATAATAAAAGTTCATTAATTGTGCTTCAGTTCAGGAACTACTCAGATGGTATCGAGGCCTTCTTGATCCATGAAAGACATAAGAGGCATTAAAGAAAGACAAGACACTATTTTTTTTAAGGTTTTACCTTTAAGTAATCTCTACACCCAAC